GGTCCATGGGAAAACTGAACACCAGAAAATAAGGACTACGTATAAGAAATTAGAAAATTGGGGTTGAGGGCGGGAGTTGTGGCTCAGTGGTAGAGCATCTGCCTAGCATGTGTGAGGCACTGAGTTGAATACCCAGCATCACATACATAAACAAAATAAAGATATTAAAAAATAGGGGTTGACAGAGATACCTAAAGGAGGAAAGACAGTCTAAATTCTTTACTTAAATCAACACCTACTGACCCATGTTTTTAAGCAAAACATAAATCTGCTATTTTCTACACTTTAAATTCTTTCTGCTCTTATTAATGTCTAACTTACCTTCAGTTTAACTGTCTACCTTTTCCATGAAAYATTTTATATTTAAATGGTTATAAAATAAAGGTCTCTTTACTTCATGGCCTTTTTTTTGTACTTACAAATTTAATCTTGCCCCTAATTTGCACTGTTTATGTACAAGTCTTATGTCCCAGCTATGGTATAAGTAAGAAATTATTTCCTCACTTCTTGAATGTGGGCTGACCTTGTGGCTAGTTCTAGGCAAGAAAATGCGATGGAAATGATGATTCCTTAGTTCTAAGTACAGACCTCAAGGAGTGCGCACGCTTCTCTTGCTCTCTCAGAACCCCTCCAAGAAGCATATGAATGAGCCTAGGTTAGGGTGCTGATAAAGGAGAGATCACATGGAGCAGAGAAGAGCTGGCCAGTCCTTTATCAATTTAGCAGTTGACCCCAAAGTAGGAGTGAGCCCAGCTGAATCCATCCTAAATTACTAATCTGTAGAAACTTGAGTTTAATAAATGATTCTTATTTTAAAGGCAATATGTTGTAGGATGATTTACTATGTAGGAAAAGCTGCTGAAATGATTGAAATATAAAAAATGGCTTCATCTCTCTAACGTAATACTCATCACAGTGTTCCTTATATGATCCTGGTRGGAAGAAATTAAATTCATTTGTTTATTTCCACAGCATTTATGCTATGCTTTGTACATGGGAGACATTCAGAGTTTGATGAAATTGAAATTAAAATCAAATTCTGTTCTTTATCAGCATTACCTACTTAATGTTTAACCATAGTATTGTTAAAGAATAACATATCTACTACAAATCTACTATTGGCCCTGTATAATTCCAATAAAGGCAACCATTATTGTAATTATTAATACTTGGAGTATATATATCACTTCAAGATTCAGAAGGCCTTAATTTGTCCTTCTCAAGCTTTGGGTGTGTTTTTTTTTTTTTTTTTTTGTGTGTGTGTGTGTGTGCGTGGTACTAGGGACTGAACCCAGGGGTACTTCACCACTAAGCTATATCCACAGCCCTTTTTATTTTGAGATAGGCCTTGCTAAGATGCTGAGTGATCCTCCTTCCTCAGCCTCCAGAGTGTCTGGAATTGCAAGAATGCACCACTGTGCCTGGTGCAAGAATGCACCACTGTGCCAAGCATTAGCATTAAGCCAAATTTGGATTTTTATAGAAATACACACATATAATTGATATTTATATGTAAAGTTGAACTGCATCCTACTTTTATGAATTTATGGACATAGGAAATACAAAATATTTAAGAAGGAGCTTTTAGGGCTGGGCATGTATTTCAATGGTAGAAGCTTTCCTAGTATGTGCAAGGCCCTAGGTCCAATCCCTGATACCAGAAAAGAAAAAATAAAATATAAAAAGGAAACAGCTTTTGATTTGCACTAATTCACATTGGTATTAATAACAGGTTTTTGAAACCCAGAAATCTGACAACTGAGATATGTATGGTAATGTATTTTAACTCTGAAGTGCTATACAAATGTAAAATATCATGAAAGCTTGTATATTCAAAATGTCATTTCACCCTTTTCCTGAAAAAGCAGAAAAGTGGAAATAGGAAAAAAGGGATGAACAGTTTTGCTGTCTCCATCTAATTTGCTTTCTAATGAAATTTTACAGCTTTTTAATGACATTCTGCTATTATAGTCTATACAGAGATAATTTCATCAACATTCCATGTTTTGAATATTTTAAAATTATCGTTCAATTAATAGTGTCTGAAACTCTGATGCAAGGAGAATATGAAAGCATGATCAAAATGATTATTATAAACCAGTGAGCTGAATACRCTCAATGGCAGTAAAAGAATGCTCTTACTGTATTGCACAGGAGACAGAGCCCATTCTTGTATGGGTATGAACCCTAAATCCTGTGTTAAACTTTAACCTTTCCTTTAACTTCTGCTATTCCCATGTAATATTTTTATCTGTGACTTACAAAGAAAAAAACAAATCAGTTTATAAGCTATATATTAGACTCAAACAGGTTTAGCAAGGCCACTCTATTTATTGATAAAATTTGTATTGCTAAGAATATGTTTGAAAGAAAAACATGACCAATGAGAGTACAATCTTCAATTTAGGTCCATGAAATCAACCATATGAGGACTAGATAATAATTCTACATGTAAAAAAGGCTCAATGACTGGCAAATAAGAGGCTCAATAATCCAGGGCTAGAAAGTCTATTCCCCTACATTAGGAATGCATTAAGAAAAATATAGAGACAAAGAGCCAATGTTAAGTGAGGCAGATTTTAGTTAACTTAAGAAATATCTTTCTAATAATCATCTTGCCCTAAGGTGAGCTTGCTGCTTCAGGCACTGAGTTCTCCTTCCTGAGGATACTGAAGTATAGTCTCGAGTGCTGTGCGGGGGATTTAAGCATCAAGCCAAGTTCTACTATATGAATTTTAATATCAGTCTCAACCACAAAATTTAAATAATCCTGTTTTAGGGGAGTACATGTAAAAGGACAAATTGTGCCTCATTTGATGTCAAGATATCTCCTTTGGAAACATACTCTCAGGCTTTCTATTTGTAGTTTGAACATTTCTATAGTTCAGAAGTCTCCTTTTAAAAGATGTCCACTTTAAGTTTTGAGAATGACTAGGATAAACTGCAAAGAGATCGATATTTCACATGGTGATTCAACTTACCTAAGGCCTGCTAATACAATCCAAAAGTTAAGGAAGTTTTTCACATGATTTAGTTTGGAAAATTGACCCTTCAAGCTGCTTTAATAGAGACAGATATAAGTAGAATTTAGGGAACAGATTCAGTAGGAAGAGGCATAGTCTTTCATTGTTAGTAAAATTTTGGAGWTTGGGTTTCTACCACTAAAACACCAATGATGAAATTCTGGGAACAGAAATGTAATAGAAAATAGGAACTTAAGCAAGAACCACACTGCTGCTCACTGAGAGCTCCCAAGTACTGAAGCATTCACTGCCGGCTCAGATCCACCTTATTTTGGCTGTGCTTTCTAACTTACTCCCTTAGTTAACATTTTCTGTGAACACTAGTTGCTTTCCATAGGGACCAAAACCACAAGTTGGACAGAATGACCACATTTCCTTCTCATGAATAGTGAAAAAGGAAAAAAAAATTCTTCTTGGATATGTTTCTCCAATGAAATTCAATTTCTGCTTTCCAAGAAAAGTCAATTGTCTTAGAAGTTTCYGGGAAAAAATGGACAAAAATGGAGGGGGAACATGGAATCCAAGAGGCAAAAAACCTAAAGCAAAATCACTGTCTTTTAATCTTTCATCAGTTAAAGGGTTAAAACCTGAGCATTTCAGTTGAGTTACTGAATCCACAGGTGGAAGGTCTTATAAGTGGAATGAGATAATTCCATTTGTGATCGTGCTGGGAAAGCCTTTATGTGTAAAGAGAATCTCCACGCTGGCCCCCAAATATTAAGTTGATACACGTTTCTAGGACACAGCCTGAATCCTCAAACTTTGGCGGGTCTGTAGACACACAATTTTGTTTTCTACTTAACAGGGCTTTCCAGAATTGTCATCAGATGACAGATTACACCGCCCATCCACAAGGATTCAGGGGTAGCTCAGGCCATCCATTATAGGTTAAAAGCCGTTCTAGCATGAATCAAGTCCCAGTGGTAAGGAGTCTACCGATACAAGGGGTCCTACAGCTTTAAGAAATACCCTGGGCATCTAAAAGTTTTCAGAATGCAAACTATGTCAGCTCTGAAAATAAGAGGCACTGCATCATTATGGCAGGAGAAACAAAGCCAACCCCCTTTTTAAAACAGACAAAAAAAAAAGATTGTTTTAATAGGAGAGAAACATCAGTCATTGATTCTTACCTCATTCACACATTCTATCCAACCCCATCCATCTTCAGAGTGAAGAGATGACAGAGCCCAGTTAACTCTCTCCCTCTTTGGGCCCCCGCCCATCCTGTTCCACTATATCCAAACCACCAAGGCCTACCATCTCACCCATTTCAATCTGCAAGAAACAGTCCCACAGAACTACAGATACCACGGCTTTCTATCTAATGGGCTTGCCAAAGCTCAGGTACGCCTAAGTCCCAGCTTTCATCACGTTTCTTTTAGCGGGTTGCCTGTCAAGTTAGCGTGGCTGGTCAGGGCCTTTGCTAATCATCTTCAAAAACGACCACTTAGTCACTCATGGCTAACCACATTCTACAAAGCAAGCAAAGAGAAGACTTAAGGCAGCAGGAAAAAGTCAACAAACCAAACCAACAATCCAGAATGTAAAATATTTCATTTTTCCTAAACGCTGCAGTCACATTATCCACAAACAAAAGTTGTCCAAGCTGGCAGTCTCTGCATCAGTGCACCTGCTTAGCATTGGTTTGACGAGTTATCTTTCTGCTGTGTCTGCAGAAGCCAACTACAACACAATGGGTCGCATCACTTGAGGGTCACTTGAGTCCCTCTACTCTCTGGGTCCCTCCTCCCACCCCCCTGCCTTCCCTTCTACCCACAAAACCTTTAACTCCACCATAGCTAAGGATCCCAGATAGCTAAATAAAAGAGGTGGCCTCAAACACAGGGAAAAAACCCTTAGGTCTCCAGTGTGAATCGCCAACGCCAATCCCCCTCCCCTCCCCTTTTCCTTAAGACCTGATGGTCTTCAGTCACACATCTTAAAAGAAAAACAAAAAACAAAAACACAAAGACTTACTTGTCTCAAGTCGATGAAGGCCAACTGCAGCGTGTCCTCCTGGAACCCAGGCACCGGGCCGGATCTGGCAAACTCTGTGGGAAAGAAAAGAGGATAAAAAGCGCCTTTAACTAACCATGGACAGGGAGATTGGCAGACGGATGACAGGGAAGACAAGAGAGGCTGGGGGAGAGGAGGACCAAGCTTCTAAGGAGTCATGTCTCTCTCCCTTCAGCTTCTTTGTTTGCCCTTCAAAATTCGTGTCATCAAAACACCATTAATTCCAGCATCCTGACAGCAAGGAAACTGTACTAATTCGACCTGAAATTTATTCCCATGAGCCGCGCTGGGCTTCAGAGTATTTGTTTTGTGAATGGACAAACAACTTGCAAAGGAGGAGGGAGTGGGGGAGAGAAAAAAGTTTTTCCTCTCAACACAATAAAATCTTCAGCTGTGAAACTCTTTTCAGTTCCGAAAGCTATTTATATTTTAGATCGCTAAAGGAATTTTCTAATTTCACGCTTGTCACCTCATTCCCCAAGCATTTATCAAAAAATATTCCCTGCCACACCATTAATTATTCCCTCACTGATTATTTGTATTATCTCATGAGTGCCAACCCACACACCACACACACACATACACACACATACACACCAGCAGCAAAGGCTATCCCAATCGGGCGCTTGGCTTTTGAGCAAAAGTGTATTTTTGGATATGAAAATGCCCATCCAAATAAATCTCACTGCAAACTTTAGGGAAACATCTGTCCTTCTAGTGTATTTTTTATTCTTGACTTCTATTTTCATTGTACTTTTAAAATTCTTCTCTTCCCTCTACCCGAGTTTCATCGTAGGTCGAAAAGACCACACCAATGCTATTTGCAATTTACAGTAGCGCCTTGGGTACAGGCTCAATTTATGAGTCTGGTGCTTCCTTGTCATTAAAAAGAAGATAACCGAAAAAGGCTATAGGGACAAATACTAGTAACAGTTAAGAATGTCAAGTTTTATTGTCCCTGAGCCCTGCTTATTATRAAATCAAAAGGTCTTAAGTTTTCTATACACGCACACGCGCACACACAAAGAACAAATTCCAAGTTAGACAGTTACTATGTCTTCAGTTCTCTCCTTGAAGACGAAGTGTGATGGACATTTAATATCAACTTGTATTTACATTTGTGACTGTTCGAAGCAAATATGAAAATAAATTTATATCAAATATATGTATTCCTCAGGACGGAATTTAAGAAACTACAGAATTGGTCTCATATTCTTCTTTTGAAATTAAATAAAATATATCAAGATATTTATACATATGTCTCTAAAATTACTTCAACAACTGGATGAATACAAATGATGACCTGTGAAGAATAATGAGAATTTCAGCTATTTAAAAATATTTTCTACCTGGGAGCTTCTTACACATAACAGATTTTCTTAAAATCTTTTCCTACTTCAAGAAATAATTCTAACAACTTAGATTGTATGGATTATGGAAACACTATGCGAAATGAAATGTTAAGTAATGTATTAAACTAATTTAAATATAGCACAAACATATTATATAATTATATAAAATATTCTTATTATAGACATTTTAAATAAAATGACTTATAAATGGAAGGAGATAAACTATTTGTATGATTAGCAGTACTAAAGTTTTTAGATGTTTTAAGAAGAAGAATAATGCTATTTATAAATTGATTCTACTATGATAGAGCCCCAAAGGAAAAAGTTTTATAAGACAAAATTCTAAAACTGTACAAACACTTGATGAAGGCCATGTTAACAGAAAGCTTGATATAATCCATTCTTCACATCAACAATAATCAATATCTGTGATAACCTCATATACAGGAGCTGCTCAACTCAAATGTACAAATGTCTCATACTATGTGCCTGTTGAAATCAGTTCTTTGAATTATGGCTATAGCCATTCTTTTTGACAGCCTTGTTACATGGTCAGCTTAAATAAGTTTCCTGGGCTGGATGGTTTCTTCCAAGGTTGACAGATTATCACTATTGATCCTCCATTGCTCAAGTCTAGGTTACATCATTTGAAGTCCCCTCTGTCAGCAGGAACTTACTTAAGTCAAAATGCAACAACCATCAAGATGTTCTTATGTATGCTCAACTCAACACAATTACTCTGTGATACATAGTTTGAATGCTTGGGAACTGGCTACACCTTTTGAACCTGCTTACTGGGCATGCTTCCTGGAGCAAATTGATGAAGCCGATGAAATCACTCAGGAAACTGGATATGATGCATATTTAGTTCTGAGTCACTTTACAGACCTCAGTTTTATGACAGACTGAGTCCCCCAAGTTACCAAAGGATAYGATTTACCCTTTTAAAAATCAGAGGATTAAACAATGACAGTTGCACCAGGTATGACAAAATAAAAAGATTAATTTTCACATGTAGCTTATGGAAATACCTGATTACTCTATATTTGACTTCATATTGGTATTTATTTCCTCACTGCTTCATGTATGTAATTCTTACCTTCCCATGTAGACAGAAAACTTTTAGGAATAAAGATTATCACTAACAAATAGTACATGCTTAATAAATACTATATTTTGATTAAATAAGTCACACAAATAGCAAGATTCATTAAATACTTGTCATTGCCAATTAAAATCTCTGGATTGCTATAGGTCCTTAACTTGAGTATCAATAAACAGGCTTTAGGAATTGATGAGGTCCCTAAAATTACATGCACAATGATTATAAGGGGATAGACTTTGAGGTCAGAGAAAAATCAAATTTGAGCCCTAGTTCCCTACTTACTAGTTTTCTGGGCTTGAGGTAATTACCTAAAATCTTTACACTTCAATATCTTAATCTCAGAGAGAGCATTATCTCATGAGTATCTTTATCTCAAAAGCTGAGCATTCCTTATAGCATAACAACGATGAAACAAAAAAACACATGTAAAGCAATTGGCAGAGTGCCTGGCATATCATAACTGATTATCATTATAATCAGCTTTTTATGTGAATATGCATTTCTTTGTAAAGAAGGTTCACAGCCTTCACGAATTCTCACAAGGGTTGGTGACCCAAGAAAGGTTAAGAAATACTGTTCTATACCTAAGATAAAACATTAGAAGAAATGCAGCTGCCATTCAGTGATGAGTTAGTGAGATGGCATTGCAAATTTAATTATAGACAAATATCTGATTGTTTCATTGAAAGGATATTTATAGGCTTAATTACTAGCCTGTTGCTTGGGACAGTAATTTATTGGAAAAAAAGTCAATAAATGTATACAATACATCTCTGGTAACTTTGAAATATGATGTATCCTCAGAAACATGATTATCCTTATGGATTCATTTTTTAAATATATTTAAAATGTTAATAGTATGAGGAAGTGTGAGTTTTAAAAAAATAAAATGAGAATTTATGCATATCCTGATTTCAGGTATATAAAATAGTCATAGAAAACATAACAGTAAATACTTCCTAATCCAACCAAGGTTCCTACAGACAGGAAGGTTGTGAGAAGATTTTTGTATTCTTTGTAGTTTATAAAATTTTCAAATTAATATAGACCACTTCTGTAACCGAAAAACAAGAAATGCGAGAACACACACATGCACACATGCACACTTCATGTGGTAGTACTGATTCAGCAGTGCTTTCTCTAGTAACTAGAGACATAATTTATCCAAGATTTAACACTATAGCCAACTGGGATTGGTCTGTACACCCAAATTTCCAGATAGATGCTTGACAGACAGAGAGGAAGAAAAGTACACACAGGAGAGGGACAAGAGGCTCCCAGCCTGCTATACCATGCTGATRCATATATATGAACCAATCATACATAAATACAAGAGGACTCCCTTTACAGTCAATGAAAACTTTCCATCTTCTGACATCATAAAAAGGGGTAAATCATGCAACTGTGGCCAAGTGGAACCAATGTGTACATGGACTTGTCTCTGGAGAGGTAGGTTTTCTGTCTCTAAGTGACCTAGGCCATCATGAAAGTTTCCAAGCCTAGAGTTCTGCAATGTGGCCTCATTATCAGCAAGGAAACAGAGGTGCTTGCTCCATTTAACACAGAATCAAATACTGCTTTGTCCAACGCCTATCACTTGGAGACTTCAAAGTTCCAGTGAGCCTGGCAAGGTAGCAATCTCTTGGGAGGAAGGTTAAGTTTAGTATAGACTCTGATCAGCACCAAACCATCTCCAGAGGACTTGGCTCTCTCCAACATTCTACCTTGCCCTTTCTAATCACAGTAGGGACTCAGAGTTGAAGGTGGTACAAAATCCAATTTGCAACTGCAAAAGTCTTGTTCAATAAGAAAACTGTCAATTCATTGAAGTTTGTGAAGAAAATATCTTCATTTTAGAATAACAATTAAAAGGAGCTATACAGTTACAAGAAAAAAGGCAAGAGGAAAAAGAAAATCATAGATAAATCATAAATAAACTTATTTTACCTACCAAATATCCAACAACCTGTAATATTCTCATATACATGTAAGTCTAATGAGATGTAATAATTTTTAAAAGTAATAGTATTTTAGCAAAAATATTCTGTAAGTTCACACTTCTAATAATTGTCACAGTATAATAAAATAAAATTATCAAAGGGATTTCATTAATCTCAAAATGTTCTCTAGATTTATTGCAGGCTGATCATAAAATTAACAAACTCTGTCACTTAGAAGGGGAAGGAAAAGAATTTCAACTTTAACTGGTACATCTGAAAAAATACATAAAAAGCTCAGTTTACTAAATTAGAATTAAATGACAGAGTTAGAATGTGCTTTGAAGAGTCAAAATGACTGTACTAGTCTGTAACTTGTGTATTTAGATGGGACATTTGGGAATTGTTCAAAAGTCAAGTTGTGAGAAACAGAATACAAAATTCTTTCTTAATCTTCACAGACTGTCCATAGAACAAGAACAATTTTCAAAGGAAGATGAGGAACAAGGTAAAACATTTCAGAAAAGCAAGATTAGTATAATGTCTGGCAAACAGGTAAAATAGCAGTTGCAGGAGGAAAACATAATTTGTTCAAATAAGAGAAAAGTGAAAAGACAATCTACAAAGTGGAAAAGAGAGGT